AGACTCTGTCTCAAAAAAAAAAAAAAAAAAAAAAGAATGATACCAATCCTTTACCCTCTTAAAACATTCATATTAATAATATTGATGCCATATGTGTGTATCTATCTCTCTACGTGTGTGTATGTATATATAACTTTAGAGCTTATAAATAAAAATTTTATATTTATTAGCTAACATTTATTGTGTGTTTAGGTATTGTTCAAAATGCTCTCCATGTAGTTAACTCACCCGGTCCTTCAACAACCCTGTGAGTTGCATACTGTGGTTTTACTGAAGAGAAAACTAAAACACAGATAAGTAACTTGCCCGAGGTAACATAGTTAGTTTTATGGCGGGGAGCTAGGATTAAAAACCACGCAGTATGGACCCAGAACCCACATTCTTAACCACTATGGTAAACTTCATTTCTATTACCTTGAAGAACCTCGAAATGACCTTATGAGGTAGGCAGGGCATTATTGTATTCTCTTTTAATAGATAAAGCAATTGAGCCTCAGAGAAGCTAAGTGACTTAAGGTCATTCACCCAACAACTATTTATGAGTATTTACTGTATCTAGTCATGATGATACAATGACAAATTGACCAGGACTCTGCTATTCTGATATAGGAGAAAGGACAAATGGATAAACATGCAATTATACTACGTTGAGATGAGTGCTTTAATAAGGGTAAGTAGAGAGCACTCTGAACAACCACAGGAGAGACATCTGTTCTGGCCTTGGGACAGGAAGTGTGTATGTCAAGGAAGATTTTCTATAAGGAGCAACAAGCAAGCCAAGATCTATAACAGTGTAGAAATTATCCATAGGCCAAGGCCATAAGGAGAGAGAAACTAAAAAGCTAAGTAAGAACTAGCAAATGAAGAACCTTGGGAATCATTACAATATCCAACCTTATTCTGAAGGCAATGGCAGAGCCATTGAAGGGTTTTGATCACATGAGAGAGATGATAAGATTTACATTTTAGAGAAATCACTGAAACACAGTGAGTAGAAAGGTTTGTAAAAGAGAGATCATCCTAGAGGGAAGCCGTCACTGTAACTGGGGCATATGATTAGGGTATACTAAACCAGGCAACAGGGGGAATTAGAGTGATTTAAAAGCTATCCAGGAGAGACAATCAGTATGACTTGGTACTGAATGGATGGAGCGGGTGGTGGTGAGAGAACCAAGGGAGTCAAGGGAAAGGTGGCTTTTGGAAAAATAGAGAAACTCAATTTTGGACATGCCAAGATTGAAATGGCTATGGCACATTAAGCAGAATTCATTAAGATTAAATAGTGATTGTACTTACAGGGGTGGTTGAATTGAACCCAGGGAGTTTGCAGAGTGAGAAGAGAAAAATATCTATGCTCTAACTCTGGTATAATCAACGAGGTAGAAGGAAAACCAGGCCAAGATGGTTTCTAGGTAAAGCTGTGAAAAGCAAGCAGTGAAAAAGGTAGGAAGGCATAACTAGACTGTAGTCTCCAGCAACAGAACGCCACTGATGACTCTGGCGAGAGCTGTGTCAGTGGAGTTCTAGGGGTGTAAGTCAGATTACTACAACTCAGTACTAAGAAGGTGGTGAAGAACTAGAGAGAGTGCACCTAAGCAATCCTCTATAGATTTGGCTGTGAAAATAAGGAGAGCTGAAGCAGTGTAGCTAGAAGGGGCCGAGGCATAGAAGAAATACATTGCTAAGATAGGAGAGACACGAATACTGACCTCCTCAACTGTCTCTCCACAACAACTGATGTCGTTTCTCTTATGTGAAACATACTGGTTGATGCTTACACTCGAGGCTAGAAGACAATTTTCTAATATATTTTCACTTTCTTCTACCAATTTAGCTATATACTAACAAAGGGTTAAGTCTGTTTCAAAACCTGTTTATGCTTGTTATACTTATTTTAGTGTAATATAAATATTGGGCTGATTCAATGTATACAAAATAAGGGATTTATTATTAATATTTCTAGATAGGTAAAAAGTTTTAGAAATACTTTAAAAAAGACAGTTAATTAAAAAACAATTAAGCCCCACAAAACACTTGTCCTTATAAAAGATTGGGAAAAGAACTGTGAAGATTTAGAAGGCTTCTGAATTCAGACAGATAGCTAACATATGTCTTTAAATTCTTGTTCCACTTTAAAGAAATTGAAACTGGAAATTGAAGATGATGCATTTTAGGTACAGTCTATGCAAGACAGACAGTGAGGAATGCCATCAAGTCATCTGCACTTAACAAAAGGCCTTAGTCTTAGATCAAAAGATTTGGGAATAAATATATACTTATGTTTTAAATTTGAACATGATATTTAAGAAATTTATCATTTTTTATGATTCTACTTGAAACCACTTTTTCAACTAATTTTTAAAATATTTACATAGAGCAAGATCCCTATGAAGGAAGGAGGAAATGGGACATAAAGCATGAGCAAAGCAATTTGTTTTTGATAGGAAGAGAAACTATGGTCTTAGTAAAATCAATAAAACACAAAAATGGGAGTAGTCAGGTTATAGTCAAAATGTGAGATATTTGAATTTAAGAACTCAAAGATTAAGCAGTATGACAAGATCCAGGGTATTTTCCTGGAAGTAGATAGTTGATACATACAAGTGGAAGAGTGTAAAGAAGCCAGAGTCTAGTTTAGATACATTGTCTGTCTATATGAACACCGGAGTCTGCAGATGATGGCTGAGCCTAGGAGTAGGAAGGAGGACTGAACTAGGAACCAAAGTCTTTGAAGAAAGAAGACCAACCAGGTGGTTGGAAGAGGACATTATGAGCAGGGCAAAAAATGGTAAAACCAGATCGTGAGCCTTAAAGGTGTTTTTTATACAATGGTGAAGTGTTGGGCATCACTGCAGGTGGAGGTGGTTCCTGAGGAACAAAGATGCTCATCTTTCCTCCTCACTTTGTGGTATGGGGTGTAGGAGAAAGAGAGATACATAGGAATTATTTTCTTCAGGGTTGAGTTGATTTTGGTAAAGGTCAAGAGAAAGGAAGATCTAGGGAAGGGTGTGTGAAAGTAGGGGAGTTCATTTACCATGGGGCAAGGGTTCTGGAAATAACAATTGAGAAGTTCAGAGCATAGCAGATGGTTGCATACACCTCTTCCCCTTGTCTAATTACCCACACATTTTCCACCCAATACCCATATACTCCCCACACCCTACAGTCCATCTTCTCTGAAGGTGGCAGCTCCTGCCCTCAGAACTCTGTGACATATGGGTCTCATTCCCAGAGGGTAACTGAGTAAGCTTGTGTCCTTGATTGCAGCAGGCAGCAATCCCATGAGAAAGAGTGGAATCTGATTTATATAAAATAAACACTATGAAATGAATGGCAGAAAAATATTTAATGACATCACTGAGCCCCTAGATCAATTAATTCTAAGTCCTGACCTAGAACCAGACTTTCCAGTTATGAGTCAATAAGTCCCCTCTATTGTTTAAGTCAGTGTGAATGTGGTTTTCTATTATCTGACTCATACAAGATCCTAACTGATTAAGGAATGAAAACTGATAAATGAATGAGCATAGAAAAGAAAAACAGGGCTGGGCACTGTGGCTCATGCCTATAATCCCAGCACTTTGGGAGGCTGAGGCAACAGGATTGCCTGAGGCCAGGAATTCGAGACCAGCCTGGGCAACACAGTGAGACCCTGTTTCTAAAAAAAAAAAAAAAAAAAAAAAAAATTAGCTGGATATGGTGGTGTACACCTCTAGTCCTAGCTACTTGGGAGGCTGAGGCAGGAGGACCACTTGAGCCCAGGATTTCAAAGATACAGTCAGCTATGATTGAGTCGCTGCACTACAGCCTGGGTCACAGAGTGAGACCCTATCTCTAAAAGAAAAAACAAAGACAGAAAAAGAAAAGCAGTATGGAGATCAGAGTACAAGAAATGATGAATGACTAGAGAGTGTTACATACTTGGTGTCGGCACAAAATAACAGGATGTGAAGTTCAGTGTATGGAGTTGGCTGAAAATTTCCAAAGTAATTATTCCTGCAACCCCTCATGGATACACAGGACAGAGGCCTTTAAAAAAGAGTCAGATATGATCATGACTGACTGTGTGTCCATGGAAGTTCCAGTACAGGGGAAAGGG